TGCCACTTGCATCTGACCAGTGAGGTAGTGCTTTTCCTCAGGTAATTTCATAAAGCTAAAAGAAGGGATCGTTCAGAAGAGGATTTCTCCCATGTAAGATTGATTTCAATTAGTGAGGGATAACATTGATATGGATATACATAACACAACTACTTTTTAGCTTCTGGGAACGATGCCATCTGTAAATAAAGAGAGCTAGTGGTAACAGAGAACTGTAAGGTCTGACTAGGGTAGCCAACTCCCTGCAGTCTTGAGGGTCTGATTTGGAGGGCAATGCTGTGCTTTGGAAGGTCAATTTGCTTGTGCTCTTTCTATCGGAGACCCATCAGCAACACATCAGACATACAGATGTGGCTTTTGAACTAGGAATAGCTAGGTTGGGAACATGCTGTGGCCATAGATACAGTTAAAACCTAGGTACGTAATAACATCACTTTGAAAAACCTAATGCATTGCTGAGATCCAGAACCAGAGACAAATCATTGATTCCTGGGCCAAGGATTACTTTGCCTCCTGGGCAGAACACTCTCCCATACACAGGGATTTGTCCTGCAGTCAACTAAGACATTTCTTAGGTCACAGATGAACAAACATATGAAGGCAAACCTCACAGCACTGCAGTTAAGAGCTTTTTTTTTTCTTACAATTTCTGTACAGTATAACAAGAAGGCAGTTTGCAGAAATGTTGGACCTGCTTCTATCTCATTTAACTGCCTTCTGTACGTAAATTACTCTGTGGAGTGCCATTTTTTTTTTTTTTTGTTATTGCACTGTCGTCTGCTGTAAATCTTGCTCTGCGTTGTTCAATAACACCTTTTTGTTGTTGTTGTCTGAGTAAAGAATGAAGCCTAAGGCTTGATTCTGACTACAGATACGGCACATAGGTATTTATCCCTACATACTTTGTTGCATCCTTATTGCACACACATGTAAGCTGCACATGTGCAGTTCATGCAAATGGGTACATTTCCTGTCAAGTTACCTCTTGACAGCAGCTCATTTAATAAAAAATGAATTCACATACCAAAAGTCAAAATCACACCTCTTTTTAAAGAACAGATGCTTGTCTCCATGTCTTTGAATTGCCCTTTTTGATGCATGGAGAGAAGACTTGTCCCTTTACTGTTCCATGATTTACCTTGTTGCTTAACCTTCCTTACTAACATAAAATTCTAGGGTAAATTATTACAAATAATGATTACAAAAAATAGAAAACCGTATCCAAGTTGGCATGGGGATCCAGCCCTGACAACTGTTGGGGAGGTACTTGCAAGCATATTTTGAGCTAGCTACTTGAATTAATTTTGCTGGAACGAGACTGTCTTCTCAATATGACAGTTCTCAACACTTAATAGTTGTTTAATGTTCCCAACAGGCTCAGCTCTGCACTTTGTAAATCAGAAAAAAATGAAATTAAGGTCTTTATTTTACCACTTCAAAAATTATTATCCTTTTTGCTCTGGCTTGGGTTTGTATGATGATAATATATTTTCTCTAAAGGGACAAGGAGCAGACTGACCTGGAAAAGGAAGTCTTTTTTATGTAGAACTGTCTTTGATCACTCACAAGACTTATGCTCTGATCTAAGCTCATTGACATCAATGGAAGAAAGGCTGCTATTGGCTTGGAGGGGAGGGCTGGCTCCTGTCCACACAGAGTCCGTATACGCAAAAGCAGATGCTAAAAGATAAGTCAGAGTTACAGAAGAGATATTTTTCTTTACACAAGGTTAGATTTATAAAAACTTTTCACTTAATATTTTTTTCTTAGTCCCTGACACACGAAAGTCCAATTTCTACATTTATTGTTGCTGTTTATCTGAAGATAAACCTTGGATACAGAAAAGTGGAGACCTTGGTGGATACTTTCCACAGCATGAAAATGGAAGGCCTCCTCCATAGTCTCTCCTGCTACACCAAAGAATAGGAAAAGCGAAAATAACCCCAGCCCCCCCATGTGCATTTCCTGCAGGAAGAGACATTTTGGAGAGGGAATTCAACACATTAGTAATGGACACAGTCATCAAAGAAGTGGATAATCGCAGAGTCTTTTTAAAAGAAACTTGTAATGGGATTGTCTCTCTCGGTGACAGTTTCCAGACAACATAAATCAGCACAATGAAGTCCGGAGATGAAAAGTCAGTCAGTAAACAGTCCTAAAAGGAATCTTCCCCAGTTCACGTGGGGGGAAAGGAGGCAACCTTCATTCTGATAATGCATCAATATCTTCAGAAAAGTCACGGGGAGATTACAATAGTTTTGTTGTATGCCATTCTGCTGTCTACTTCCTTGGTTGATTCAGTAACTGGTTTATATTGCAGATTCAGAAAATTCATCTCATTCAATTGTATGAGAAAATTTAATGAACAATATTTGCCACTATCATCACATTTTATTTCAAACAACAGTCTCCAAGTGCTGTGAACATGATATTTATGCTTGGACCAGGCAACAGAACTGCTTTGGCCCAGACATTCTGGCCAATGTGCTTCAAATCAAGTATCTCTTTCTTACTTACTTAATGCTTCCTACAGAAGCAACACAGCTAAGCGAGACAGGCAGCAGTTACACAAAACTTCACTGCTGACTTGGTGTTCAGACTTTGATCTAACTTTCAGGACCTTATTCCTTTTCACATCTCACATGTTATATGCTGACCTTCTCTACAATTTCAGCTGACTAACAGACTTAGATCAATAAAAACAGGCTCAGGATTATGTATACCTAACGTCTCTATGAGGCATATAAATATTTGCTCATTCAGAGCTTATTCCTTTAACATTGGACTGAAATGGCAATATTTTCATTGACATACCTGAGAGTAGAAGCAGTTTATAAAGTGTTAAGTTTGGGGAAAGATGCCATAGGAAAGGAAAGTAAAATTATTTAAAAATAAAAATATTAAAATAATAATTATTATTAAAAATAATTTAAACTATTAAAATACTGAATGAGTAAAATTCATCCAATGAATTGATAACTCTGCCATTCCCACTACATGTATCCTTCCATGCCTCTTAGAGTAGAATTAAATCCAGAAACTGAAATGTACAACATCTTCCTTACAAACTTGAATATTTATGGCAAGTGTGTCCTATTTCACCCTGAATCACTTCTTCAGATGCTATTAAAAATCAGGAGTTTCCAACCACAGGCTTAGAATGAACTAGATTTTTTCATCCCTTTCTCCTTTCACTCCTTTCTCTGGTTGGGCTTGGAGGCTCTGGGCAGACTTTCCAGAGTTGCTAGGGACTGTGGCTCCAGCTGATGCTGAGTAACTAAGCAAGTTAAACAGAAAACATTGGTCTAGAGAACAAAGATTGATGCAAGATTCTAGGTCTCTCATGCTTTATCATAGTCACAAAGTATATGCAGGGGAAAAGGAAAGGAGAAATTGTGTAAAAAGCCATCTACTAAGAAAAGAATGTTTGATTTGGATCACAGGATGTGAGACTGGAGAATGTATTGCATAACTTTATGGCTTGTCCTTATTTGCAATGATTCAGTATCCGGCACTGCTCATCCCATTTCTAAAAATGGTATTGAAAAGTTACAGAGTATTCAGAGGTGATGGGAATAAGTGAGGAATGCAAGGAAAACACCTTTTCATCTTACAACAAATAGCAATGACTGTGTCTGCAGGTCATCCTACAGGTCATTGCAGATCTCTGGTTCTGCCTCCATCCCCAGTACCCAAGGGACATCCACCAGGTCACGCCCCTTCTGTGCCTGAGGCTCTTCTCCATGCCAAATTTAAGATTACAATGATCCTTTCTCAGTAGCATTTCTCTTATAACTAACAGGTAGCATGTATAGCTCCTAGTGTGGAGGACAAGAGATGAGGCAGGTGAAATGCTGTGGAGGGAGAACTGCCCCTCACCACAGCTGTTTCTGAAGACTCCCCTGTCAAGGCAAGCCCCTGATGGAAGAATCTTTATGGCCTTTTTGGAGGCCTGTTCGTGTGGTAGAGGTATTTCCCCCTACTCCAAAACAGGCACCTCCAGAACAGTCTTCTCTGTCAGGATTGTTTCACTGTTAGCATGTTTCTTTCTCCCTACCTCTTCAAAGCAAGCAACATCCAGACCTGCAGGTCCTTACCCCAAATCAACCCTTCTCCCATTTCTGACCCTCCCCTGTGTTGATGTGGGAAAAACGGAGCCAAGATCCGGCAAGCCCTTTGCCATCATCCTGCCAGAGCTGCAGGTCCGGGACAGAACCCGGCTACCAGAGAGGGGTTCACAGCCAACCCGCAGACAAAAAGCTAGGCAACAAATGGCAGGCTCGTTACTTCAGGGAGCTGCTCATCAAACTCTAACATATACCCAAACTCCTGTTATTTAAACAATGAAAGGGAGGCGGGTGAAAAACCCCAGCAGACCGCAGCGGTGCTGGGCGGAGTCAACCCGACCTCATTCATGGCTTTCTCTGCGTAGGGCGAAAGGGTTTACGTTCTCTCCCCCCCGCTTCCCCCGTTTTAATTTTGGGATGGATTAAGACAAGGCTGGAGTCGGGAGAACTCCTCCCACCCGACTGCACCGGGAAGCGACAGCTTTAGCTCCCGTAAGTATGCGGAGAGCCGCGATGCCTGGAAAAAAAACCCGGTTTCTTCATTGAGAAAAACACCGCTCCCGGCTCGCGCGCCCGGGCGCTGCTTTTAGGGGCCTTTACTCCATTATCATCCTGGCTGCTATTTATTAATTTGTTATGATAATACAATTAATTAGTTAACATCTCACACCGCAAGGACAGTCCCCCGAGAGGCTGGACCTGCCGGAGCTCAGTTGGCGGGGGGAGCGGCGGGGGGAGCCGCGGCGGGAGTCACACCGGTGCTCCCTGGTGCAAGGGCCCCGGCCCACTGGGCCGTCTCCTGAGCCCCAGCACAGCCCGGCAGCGCTGCGGAAGAACGCCTCACCTTGTTTACCCCTAGCTTGGCCGGCTGCTTGGGGGGGGGTGGTGGGGGCCGGGCCGGGCCGGGGCGGGGCGGGGCGCAGCGCGGTGGGCGGTGGGGCCGGGCCGGGCGGCGGGGCAGTCAGCCTGCGCGCTGGGCACCGTGCGGGTGTGCGGCGGCCGGCAGCGAGGCACGGAGGCAGCCAGCGTCCCCGCCACGTAAGTAGTTGTTGATACAGCGGGGGGAGGCGATGCCTTACTGAAGGGGAGCGGCGCGGCCATCCCTTTCCTCCCCCGTCCTACCCCAAGGAGAGAAAAAAAAAAGGCTCAAACAAAACCTGCTCGCTGTATTTATTTTTTTTTGTTAAACAATTTATTACAGTTTATTTTGCACCCTTGGCCTTTCGCTGTTGCACTCCCAGCCCCTTTCTCGTCGTGCTGGTTTTCCTTTTCTTTGTGCATGAACTACGTTTAAACGCCGCGAAGGCAACGAGCCCCCAGCCAGAAATCCCGCTGTGCTGGGGAAACGTGAGCGTGTGCCTTCTCTTTCCCCGTGGTTGCACTTTTTGTTCTGTCGAGGTGACCACGACAGCACGTTTGTTCTCGCCGGCGCGGAGCGGTGCGCGTAAGCCCCGTTGTCCCGTTCCCCGGCGCGGCTGTACCGAGCCCCCCGCCGCGCCGAGCGCGCTTTTGTCGGCCCGGCCGCTGCCCGCTCCAAGTTAAATGCTCCCTCGCTATTTCGCGGGGCATTTTTGGAGCGCCGCGGGCGCCAGCGGCGAGGTTCCCGCGCCATCTACAGCCCGGCCGTGGCAGCGCGGCTCAACCTCGCCGTAGGAGAGAGAAAGGACGATTCCCCGCTGCGCGCAGCGCGTTACCTAACCTTTTGTTTTCGCCCGTGCTGCGCGCCCCGCGGGAGCCGCGGCGGCTGAGACCCGGCCGCCCCGCTCCTTGCCCCGCTCTGCCGCCTCTTCCTTCCCTGCCCCAGCACCGGGCGCCGCTGCCCCGCCGCGCTGCTCCGCGCTGCTCCGCGCCTCTCCGCGCCCGGCCGCCGGCGGGAACAAAGGGCCGCGGGCTGAGCGCTCTCTCCCTGTGCCCAGGACGCGGCGCTGAGGCTGGTCGCCCGCCGCCACCGCGCTCCCGCCCCCCCTCCCCCCCCGCCACACAAAGGCAGCCGCAGCCGGACGGGCGAGGGACTGCGCTCCACGCCAGGGCTCCGGTGCAGCGTCTCGGCTGGTCTTCTCCATACTCATGAACATACAAAGGTCAACCCCTATCACGATAGCACGATATGGGAGACCGCGGAATAAAACCCAGGATTTCGAGGAGCTCTCGTCCATACGGTCCATCGAGCCAAGCCAGAGTTTTAGCCCGAATCTAGGCTCGCCGAGCCCGCCGGAGACCCCGAACTTGTCGCATTGCGTTTCTTGCATCGGGAAATACTTATTGTTGGAGCCTCTCGAGGGAGACCACGTTTTCCGAGCCGTACATCTGCACAGTGGCGAGGAGCTGGTTTGCAAGGTAATACCTCTCCTCCTTTCCTCCTTGTTCCCCCCCGGGTCAGCCTGTTGTCGCGTGTTGGTTTCCCGTGTCTTGCAGGAGGGCTGCGCACGGTCGTGTAGCTCAATTATTAAACAGTTGAGAAACAAAAGGCAGGGAGGCAGGATTAAAGGCGCATCCTGTAACTTTTCCCTTGCTCTAGACAATGGCCACGTTATAGCGGTGGCCCGGAGCCAGTTCTGCCTCTTACCCGGGTGATAATGTTCTGGAAAGAGCCGTGCTTTTAAGTAGGTCTTAACGTGAGTTCAGGTCAGGAAAAAGCCTCATCTTCCCCACTCTCACTTTTCAAAATGGAGTAGGGAATCCCCAGCGAATTTTAAGGTGTTGGGACCTGCTGGCTTCCTCGGTTTTTCCTGTCACTTGTTCATGTGAGTTTTGCGATCCAAGAGGATGGAGAAGCAGGGGGAAATACTGCCGTCAGCTTTGTCTTGAAAGTGATTAAAAAAAACCCCAAAGCCACATCGAATTAATCAGCCTGAGCTCCCTCACCGTTGAGGTTGTTTGCAAACAGCATCCTCCCCCATTGCACAACTGAGCAAGAATAAAACCTTCACACCTACGGTTTTTAGAAGAGCAGGCAAAATAAGCTATCCCACTCTTTGTAGCCTGCTTGCCTTTTCTTGCCTCCTCCCAGTTTGCTCCTACTAGTCAAAGGTGAGCTGTAGGGCAAAAAAAAGAAACCCATAAGTGTGACAATCTGTGGAGGGATGTTCTTGTCTTTTTGGGCTGAGGGAATATTTTCCTTTGTTCCTAAATTGTGACTGTCATTGTCTGTAGTGAGCCAGACTTACACCTAGCAAACTGAGGCACTACCCAGTAGTAGTTCTTTATAACTATGTAACAAATTGCAACCTTGCAACGCACGCTGCATTATTTGTATTGTTCCCAAAATATGGAATTGTGCCATTTGGCTGCTTTTGGAAAATTTCTAGTGTCAAACTAACTGCAAACCAGAAAAGTACACATATTACAGTTTATTTATATTCCATGGATTAATGATGGTATTTCTGTTTCATACTTTCTCATACTTGAGTCATAAGAAGTTATAGACTAGCCTGTAATAGGGAAGTGAAAATAATTGCTTCTGTTTGCTGTTCGTAAAGATTGGAGTTCAGAGTTCAGTTTAAATATGCTTAGTGATTGAGTTATAAAACCTGATGTTAAGGCAACCTAGGACTTTGTGTGATTATTCAGGGGGAAAAAGGGGGCCATGACTTTGCAAGAGGACCAGTATTGCATGCTGAACTGAATGCTTTGTTACTAAACTGAAACAGAACATGAGAATTTCTAGAATGAAAGCTCTGCTTGGTGCAGTAGTACAGTGCTGCACTCTAGGACATTGGCATCTTTTCATGAATAAACAGATCCCACAAATCTGCTGCTCTGCATGAAATTATAGGTGAACTTGCATAGCAAATAGTAAAGCGGGGGCTATGCTCTTCTTTGTTTCCTGTTTGGCTTGCAGGATTAAGGAACTGTTTGATGACAGTATGAACAAGTATTAACTGCAGCTCACAAAGAGTGGACTTAATTTTTTTTCCTTCCCTTTAAGCTGTACATTTTTGAACTGATCCTGACAGCTGAATAGTATCAATTTTTCCGTATGTGCAAGACACTACTTCTAGCTGTGCTCCAAAATATGATCTTAGCGTGAATTTCTAGTTTGACTATGCAGTTGTCAGTCCTGAACTCAGTATAATGCGTGCTTTAATATGCCTTCAGTATCATGACGACTATTTGTCAAGTAGCCTTCCAGCTAAGAAACCTGCTATCTGGTGTCTTATTGAAGATGCTCTTAGAGATTGCTTGCAGAAACACTGGTTTGGATAACAGACACATACTGATGATTCTCAAGATTCATTTGGCTGCACCCACTGACTGTACAGATGCCGTTATTTGCTTCAAGGCTCTGTGGCATCCAAACAATGGTAACTTCTCACTTCCAGTTCCCAGCAACAACTAAATCAAACTGTAGCTTATTGGACATCTGCTGAATTGAGGCCAGGGATCTTAAAAGCTGGGATACAAAGAAGCCCTTTATAAAAGGTATTCTAGACTGTAGCAGTATGATAGCCCTTCCCATCTCCCACTTTCAAGCGTAGTACTGGTATATACCTAGACCTACTTATTTAACAGTCTGAGAATGACAGAATGTAACGTAATTTTTGCTAGAATTTTGGAAAGGCTTTTTTTTTTTTTTTTTGATGTTCGGGTTCAAGCTACATGAACATCCCCATGTAGATTTTATTTTAGAGCATCTACTTTGTAGAGGAGCCATTCATTTACAGTGTAGTAGTTACGAGTTTTGAGATCCAGATGTCAGTGAATTCTTCTATGGAATGAATTAAAGACCAGGGGTCTTAGCAACACCCCCTCCCCACCCTGGTTCTGCTTCCCTGATGCACTATGTCACCAGAATGCCTCAGTGCTAATCTACCTCCCGTAAAATGTGTTGGATCTGTTTGGCAGCCTGCACTGGGGTTGCTTTTGTCTGTGCTGGAGTATAGCAGCACAGGTTTGGGGGGGGGGAGGCGCGGAGAAAGAGATGTGTAAGAAGGGGGTGTCCTTCCCTAGTTTCTTGGAGTTTGGGTCCTTTTCTGCAGAAGTAGTTTATTAGGATTGTAGTCTGAAACATTAAATGACAGATTTTGAAGCCTCAGGTGAATCTTGATTGAAGTGTATCTCATTCCGTTTTGAATTCCTTATAAAAGCTGTAATGAAAGCTGGGAGATTTGCTTCTTGTAAAGGATGCAAATACCTGCTATTGGAATACAAATACTAGAAGGAAAACAATTGCAGCTTAAACCAGTTGGTTAGAGACCTATACTGGTTCTTCATTTTTATATTCAGTTAGAATAACATATTACTACCTTAAATTCTTTTTACCGAAGTAATAAAACACCTGAGAGTAAGTTACATATTAATTGAATTTCTGTGCTGGCAGAAATGCTAATCCCTTTCTTTGTAGTACCTCTGCAGCAGGTACAATTAAAAATAAAAATCACTCCAGGCAATACTTCGGTTATATTCTCTTTCAGCACACTGAGTTCTGTTATCCTCAATGAAGTCTTTCTTGTAATGTGGGCATTTCTCAATTGACTCAAATACTGATTCATTCATCACCACTAGATTATAGTAACTTTTTATATTTGGGTTTCCCAGCAGCTTTTTAAATTCTTACAGCTCATTCATAAGATCAGTGATAAGATGCTTACTAGTAGAGGGACACTCCGCTTTTAATGGTGCACTTGATTAAAATGCAGGGAGTTCAGAGTGGTTTTGTCTTTGCCTTTTGAAGGATATTTGTCTGCACTCCAACAGGCAAGGCTATTTCCTGGTTGTCCTTCTGATCTTATAAACAGCCATTGTAAAACTGAGACTTTGAAAGTGAAAGTGACTCTGCTGTTTGTCAGAGATGAAAGAAAGGCAGGAAGTAAGTATGAATAGCAATAGATGATATTTTAAACTTGAAAATCCTTAAGGCTTTAACGGGTTAATAAAATCAAGACAGAGGCATGTGTATCAGTGTGGATTTAGTACGCCAGCTTCTCTCAGTACAAAGCTACTGGCTGTGTCCTCTCTGAGTTTATTTGGATGGTAAATAGAAGATAAACATGTTTACTGCCCTTATATGTTGCTGGTCTTCACAACGTAATTTAGATTACATTCTAAATTTGATCGGTTATTAGCTAATGAAACTATTCCTGCTACGAGTTTTGAAGACTAGCCTATCAAGGTTACACATATATTCTGTGTAGGGTTGTATAGTCTGTTTTGTCTTGTCCTCAGTGCTGTGAGTGTGTGACATCCTGTTTACATCAGTGCAGCTTCAGCAGCAGCATAAATTGTACTTGGAGATGGTTCTGTTAATAGAATTAGACGTACCATGACTTCGCTGTCCTTCATGTCGCTAACCCTGGCTTTGCTGTCATTGTTTCTGCAGGTGTTTGATATTGGCTGCTACCAGGAGTTATTAGCACCATGTTTTTGTCTGCCTGCGCATAAAAATATCAACCAAATTACTGAAATAATTCTTGGGGAGACAAAAGCGTATGTGTTCTTTGAAAGGAGCTATGGGGACATGCATTCGTTTGTTCGTACCTGCAAGAAGCTTAAAGAAGAGGAGGCAGCCAAACTCTTCTATCAAATAGCTTCTGCTGTTGCACACTGCCATGATGGTGGACTGGTACTGCGAGATCTCAAGCTACGAAAGTTTATTTTCAAGGATGAAGAAAGGTGAGAGTCTCCCTTACGTTACAGGTGGGGGTGCCTGAGGTCAGATATTCAGGCTTGCAGGATGCTGTGCGCTTTGTGTGGCAGGAATGATGATATGGCAACAAGAAGGTGTTACACTTTGAGTTGCAGAGGAAACTAAACAATCATGGGATGGATGTGTCATTTTATCTTCTGACTTTGGCTTTGGAATAAAGTAAGTATAGAGTGCTGTTTGCATCTGTGTCTTGAGGAGCACCCTCATTCCTAAGGAGCGGCTGCCTGCTTGAGGAAGGCTCTGCATAGATATCTGGTGTAAGAGCTCTGTTACTGTAAATGCTGCTGGTGTTTAAAGGGGAAAGGTGCAGAAGATCCAGTATGTTAAAAAAGGTTGTAGACTGGAATGGCTCATTCCAGTAAGGAGGCACGAAGAGGAAGAACAGCCAAGTGGTTAATGTTAACACAGGTTGCAGGGAAGGACCACCAGTGACTGCTTTGTGGACAGGTTCTTGTTTTCTGCCCTGGAAGGGTCTAGAGGCTGCTTCTGAGGCAATAGGCTGATATATTATATGATCACAGTAAAACTAAAACTGCCTTTCTGTGTGGGTGCTTGTTTGTATTATCAGAGCTGTTGTGGTAGTTGGGTAACTACCCTTTTATCTCCTCCCTGCACACCTTCCTCTCAGTAATTGGGTGGTAATGATTTGGGGAAGTAGTATGGAAAACATGGAAATAAATGATGCTGGAAGCTCTAGGCATACTGTTGAAGTGCTCTTTCTGATACTGGGCTATAGCTATGTTGTTGTACCTGTGGAAACTTCCAGTCTTTTTCCTGGTTGCTACCTGTTTATGTTATGTCCATGTATTTGCATGCGACTTCCACATAAGGTACCAGAGTAATAAACGCTGCCAGAGCAATGTCAGGCTTTCACAGTGGGACTAAATGGAAGATGACCATTATGAAAAAAATGAACTAAATAGGGGCAGAGCCTGCCTTTGTGCTTCTTCATGCCTTGGTAGAGGATTGGGAGATGTTTTTCCCTTTTAGTTAAATCCTATAAACTGTCTGAAAGCTTGTTCAAACTGTTGCTGAAGTGAAATGGATGTTCTGAGATTTTTGTTAAAAAAAACCCAGTGCATTATTGATTCCATTTGGGACTGTTTTGGGAAAGTTATAAGCAACAGCCAAGGCACAAAAGTTTTCTGTAGGGTCAGTAAGTCTGTGAGCTGAGAAAAAATTAACACACAATTCAGTCAGGAAGGAGAAGTTCCTGGACTTAAAATAAAAATGACAACCATTTATACTGTTTATCTCTACTTCATTTTATTATAAGCTGAGTTTTGCAAAATAAACTCCTTTTAATCTCTTTACAAACTGAAAATAAAAGACATTTTCACTTCTTAATTCAGTTCAGGCAATTCTCTATGAAGCAAAAAGCTATTCTTTGGTTTTCTGCAATGGGCCAATATATAAGATTACACTTTCTTTCTCTTCAAATAAAAAACCCTAAAGTGAAACTAGTTTAATGTCCATTCAGAGAGAAATGCAAAGCAAATAGAGGTAAACTGCACTTTCACAACTTAAAGTTTATTAATTAAACACCATTATAGCACCTCTGATACAGATAAGAAGGAAACTTACACAAAATAGTTGAGGCAAGGATTGTTTTCTGTTGTAGGTGGTAGTCCTAATGTTAAAATGGATTTATTATTTGTTTTCCTCTCCTGGGGATACATATAAACTTGTGTGGTTTTCCATGAAGGATAGGATTTGGAAAAGCTGCTCCAAGTGGAAGCAGTGTGAATCCAGGGCAGTGCAGTGGGAGCAGACATGGGCCTGTGCTGAATACTTTTGAACTCCTACCCTGCTGCTCACTAGGAACTGAATGCAACAGGAGGCACAGGGCCAAATCTTTTAGCCACCCAAGAAGAGTGGTGCGTACTATAATAGCAGTGTTTGCTTTTATGAATGTTTTTAACATAACTGTCCTCTGCAAAATCACAGTTACTCACTTTTGAACAGTGTCTTATACAATAATTCACTTTAAAGGTCAGATAGGACTTGCTGGTTATTGTTAAGATAATCACAATGTGGTTTTCTTCTGGATGTAATGTTGATTTGTAAGTACTGTGGTATTGTAATCCTTCCTCTGCTAAATAAACAGAGATGAAATAGTGTGAGATAGAAATAGAACCAGAGACTGTGTTTTTTTTTTCACATGCTTTGATCATCAGGCTGTAATCAGTCATCACTTTCAATCTGATGCTATATTTATGCTGAAAAATCTTCCTGATCCTTCTGGGTTCACAAAGGTGTGTGTTGCTTGCACCCTTCCAAGCTCATATTCACTTGAGGCTGCTGGTTCTGGTGAGGATGCCCATGTGCTGAACAGCCTGCCTTTCAGAAGCTGCCATCAGTGGCAGTACCTGGGAATATGGTGATATGCATGATCTCTTCTCTTTGACACCAGTAATGAACCAAGGAGGAAAGAGAGAGGTGAAAACGATGTTTTGAGAAAAATATATGTGAACTCCACTGCTGTGTGTTGCGGAGCTCTTTCTTAGTTGTTCTTTCCCTGTTTCTTGAAGTTTTTTGTGTCTTTTTTTGTTTTTTTCCCCCCTGCAGTTCGCTTTAAGTACCCACTGGTTTGAAACTTTTTCTTCTTGAATACTCACAGCTTTTTTTTGTAGAAGAAAAGATGGGAAGTCCAGCATGCAGGCAACTCATGAATAGAAAACTCACTTCTTTTATTTATTTAAATTTTTTTTGAGCAAGATACTCAGCTCTTAGCTGAGAGCTGTCAGACTGGAGAAGCCAGAGAGAAAGTGAAGGATATAAGGAAGCAGTTCCATTTGCTTAAAAATAAATCAATTAAAGCATTTCTTAGTACATACTCTTTCAATTGATCCCAGTGATACCCTGGTAGCTTGAAATGAAATCGGAGCTCCTGAAGTTTTGCACAGATGGGTGCATACAGCATTGAAATTCTTTCCGCCCCATTCCTATTATCTAAATTACAGCTGGGATTTGCAAAGATTCGGGCTCCTGATCTAGCAGCATCATGAGTGCTCTGTGCTCCTACTCAGGTCACTGCTAAGAATGCGTGTTATTTCGATGTTGCAAATTGCAGTGCCTTGGGATGTCTGTAATGAACTGGGAGGTAGGAAGGTGGAAGAAAGTAATGTTGGAGCCTGGTACTGCTGAGCATTTAGTAGGGATCCTAATCTTACTAGTTACGTTCTCTTGATGTGCTAAATCAAAGGTAGATTGTGATGATGTGCTACCTCTTACTATAGCATGTGTGTAAATACAACAACACTTAAAATGAAATAAAAAAATCCATAGTGCGGAAACAAGAAAAAACAATTTCTCTGTGTTTCAAGGTACTTTATCTGTAGCTTCTTTTAGTCCTGAACTGCAGAAATTTTGAAGGTAGGGTAATTTGCATGCCATTAAAATGATGTGTGCTGTTACCAAGCACCTAAGTTCTTTCTGTCTTTTTCGGTGGGTTTTTTTTTTTGTTTGTTTGTTTGTTTTGTGTAAAAGAAAGTTAGGGTTAAGGTTGTGGTTTTGGGGAGGAGGTGTGTCTGTGGTTCCATTCCTCAACTATAGGTGAAATGGCCAGTCTTCTAGTACTACAGTTTCAGAGTTAAGCTCCTTAAATCTGCAGCTGATCTTGATGAAGCAGAACTTCTAAGACATTACAGCATGGCTGGAAATGTTTTTAAGACTGGGTTCACAAGCAGCAGCACATCCATTAAATGAGGGCAGTGACTTTCAGAGAACTGAAAATATAGAAAATGCCATGCTGGGTCTCACCAGACTTTTACCTATAAGATTCTTGAATACTTTAAAAATTGGGTCCTTTAGCTTCTAAATAAAACTTGAATCTGAAAGAGTGAAGATGAGCTAAATAAAACACATGTTTTTCTGTGTTTTCTGCTTCCATCCCTGTCCTGGGGCTCTTACCTATGATTATTTTGCTGTGTTTTATATAATGATATTTACAGTTTTCCTTGTACAGCCTGTCTTTATAGTAGGCCCTTGGGCAGACTGACTGTGCCCTTCTCCTAGCTCTTGTCCCACAGCCATGTTGCAAAACGGACAAGATTTTTTGGATTGTTCTAAAAATAGCACTATACATAGTTTATAGCCAATAAAGCAGTTAATTGGTCTGATATATAGTAGATGCTTGAGAAAGAGCCACCTCAAAGATCTCAGAATTAAATCAAGCATTTCTGTGTTGATTGTTTCAGTGGTTTTCTTAATACGAGAACTTTTCTGCTGTCAGGGAATTATTAATTTCTTTAGTGCATTTTTAAGCCTTTAATTATATTAAAATATTAGCTGTCATAATATTTGAAGCTTAAAGACCTTGCACGTTCATCATACTTGTTGAAGGGAAAATTAAAATAATTTTGGTATTTGGATATTGTAATTTTCCTGTATTCTTTGAGTAAATACGAGGCAGGTGGGATTCAATAAATGGAGTTTGACACTCTTTGCTCTGCACCAGGGAAATGCAGACAGTACAATACACTAATTTAGAAAGCCTGTTTTAGCACAACATGTTTATTCGCTTCTCTTAGATTTTTTCTTTTTTTTCCTCTGAAGTTTCTCACTTTTGAGTGGATGATGCTTTAAGATGACCTAGTTATGTTGTTTGCAGTTCTAATGATACATACCTGATCCCACAAATATAGAATGCATCTACCAACCTTTTTTGAAGTAGACCTTTCATTTTCTTATAGTTGTGGTAGTAATTTTCCTCCCCAGCATTTATCAAACTGTAATACTATCAGCTACTTTTCCCTGTGGTGTTAGAACATGCTGTTTTGCTTACAATTCCACGGTGAACAGGTAAGTTAATGCTTTCCAAGTCCTAGAAAGTGTCCTAAAGTGGAAGAAAATCAAACAAAATAGAAGTGCTCTTTAAATACCAGATTTAGAAATAAAACCAGTCTTCATCTGTTTTGTCATTTAACCTCTTCACATTACTCTGAATGGGACTACAGGACCAAAG